CACACTAAAGCGTGTTGTGGCACGCCATCTTTTGTTTTCGAAGTTTAACACGCTTCTTTGTTTGACTGCATTGTTAGTGTGTGCACGCTTATTGTTCCTAGTGTGTCCAACCAAACTAAAGAGTTTACTAATGAAGTGTGCTCCTGAACACACTTTAAGCGTGCTAAAGTCAAATTCTTTCATTTCCAAGTGGAAGCGTGTTGTGAGTGTGCTATCACCTTTATCCCTGTTTTCCTGTGGAGGGTCACATTTGCTCCCCCAGCTATCCCTACATGAAGTTAAGGAGTTAACAATGAAAAGTTTAACAAACTTCTAATCAGTTACCGTCTTTTAGTATGTCATCATATTGTGTCCAGCTGACGAAAATATTGATATCTGAAGGCCTCTTTTTCGATCAGGAACTAGCATTTTGTTTACTTGAAGGACCATTTCCAATTTTCTAACCCCAATAGTACTTCACACTAAAAACGGCTCTTTTAGGAGCCACCAAACTTGTAAAAGCAATGACCAATGCGTACTCTGATATTATTAGTTTTATGAAGTTCTTATTAGTTTGCTTTGCAAACTTACAAATTTTCAATGAGAAGTGTTAATTTATGCTTATTTATGGTAACTTAATTTTAAATTTTTCTCATTTGTGCTGATCAATTCAAGAATAATCAACCGTTACTTTGACTATTAATAAGCCTCTTGGATTAGCTCAAGGTCAAGATACTCCCATAAAGATATACCTGGCGCAAATTTGGACACTGAATTGTCCTTAGAAGTTTTCGTAGCGTTGTATGTCTGTACGCTTTAGTTTTATTAATATTGACTATATATGCAAGTTTCAAAGTCTCATGTAAGGCCGTAGAGTCGTAGAGTCGTTGAGTGGTATATCCTTATAGCTTTATATTGCTTATTAGAGATATAGAGCGAAAACATAATATTTTATTTATCTAAGCTACATGTATAATTACAACGACTGTTCATTTATTGTTTTTCGAAACGCAGCGTTACATTGCCCATTTTTCTTTCGAGTACTTAATTAGATGCAAGCTATATCATTCTCCATGATATTTTACTGTTAAGTATCTGTAATGTATAACCTCTACGGTTCTACTTGGTACAGCCGTAGAGTCGTAGAAACAGGTAATGTATTTGTTTTGAAATTACTGCTACGTTTATCCCATTGTTCTTGTAGTTGCAGCCGAAGCATTTACGTTCCATGTATAAAGTTGTACCCACTTTTACGCATTTACCTCGCTACGCCTCTACGGCTGTACTGCTTTACGCCTGTAAGGCTCTACGTAGAGTTTGAATGAACCTTCCCTCAAAAGTTTACTTACACTGTAAAACTCCCCTCAAACAAGCTTATTAATTGCAGGGACAGACATTGGTTCCAAATTCTATCAAATCTTTTTTTTTCCCATAGACGATATTTCCATAACATCCTTTATTTTCTATTCAGTTTGAGGGACGCTTGTTCACCTCATTATTGTGGTACCATACATTACATTACAGTAGAAATTCATCCCTTGATTTCAGAGTTACATTATCGCTTTATTTAGCTGCCGTTACGTGCAGAAAATCTTTATAGATAAGACGTTTATGCTTAAACGTGTTCATTTTTTTTAGCATTTACTTGTTTGTTACCGTTTTCCATTTTCCATATTAGCTAACGCACAAGTAATGCCCTCATATCTAAAGGGTTTACCGTTACACACAGGTTGTTTGCTTGCTTTTTTTTCTTTTCTTTCTGTGACAGGCCTGACATGACTCCTGCGGGTTTCGTGATGTTGTATGTAATTAGTTTTGCTCTAATGAGTATACCTTTTAGAGATCTGCCTCTTATGTAAGAGATAATGGGTGGTTCCCGAAAAATCTCTCGAAGCAGGGGTTGTTTCTCAGTGATATGCCATTTGCTCATTAAAATTGTTTTGAGATTTTGCACTAATGGGTTGTATTTTCTGACGAAAGGCAATATGATTTTTCGTACCTTCTGTTTTTCCTGTAGCGCGT